GAAACCAGTTATATTGAAACAGTTATCAACATATTTACAAAAATAAATTGTGATATAATAAATATGCTTCTTGATTAAAGCATTAAAAAGTAAGATCCAGTGGCACCTTTAATAACTAGTGTCATTTTGAAATAACGACTGTAAACAATATTTTAAGATATCTACCAAAAATTTAATGCGATATGAAAATATTATAATTTCTATTAGTGACAAAGTTAGAGGTTCTGTTCATACTACTTTTGGTCTGTTGCCTACATTGCTAATCAAATGAAATACTTTATATTAGAAGTTAGAGAAAAAAAGATACAGTATTTCTCACATCTCAGTTCAAGAGTCCGTGAATTTTCTTCCATGGGTTCCCAAAGGGGGCTTTGAACCCCTGATTATCAACCCCTGCTTTACACATATCTTTGTAAATTATTCTCCAGTAATATTACACTACCTTCTATGTTACTCATCTTTTTTTCTGTATATGCTTTGTGAATATGACCATAAGCGCCATACCATCATGAATTTCCTCAGCATTTAAGAATCATTTGCATGCATAATGTTCTAAAATAGAACATACTTTCATTTCTCCCTTAAGACTTGAATCACTTTTTTGAAATTGTTATTTTCATTTCTTTGTCAATGCTCTATACGTAAGTATGTCTGCAAATATTTCGTTTTTACTACTGACATCCTAAACACAGTTACTGGTCTTCGAGTTTTCTCTCAATAGAGAGAAATTACACTGAAGGAGACTTTCAAAGCTGAAATGATGACTCCGAGAATCACCTAAATTTAGTACACATTATTTGGAACTAACTCATAATTGCATATATTAAAGGCTCTTCAACAATCTCAGGATATGATGTACTTTTGAAATGTTACGATGAGCTCCTGTTAAGTATTATAGTTTAGGACATTTCAACTTCTTCCACATAGTAACCTCAGTTCCTAGCTTAAAGACAGATATTTTGAAATAAAGGAGACATGAGTATTTTTATTTATTAAAAACCTTAAAATTTGGGCTTGATCTTGCTGAATTTTTTTTAAAGTAAGACATTTATCTTGTCAAATGACTAAAATCTATTAATTTCCTGGCAGGGAAGAGCCTATTGACCTATACTAGGAGAGAGAACACTGGTGTTTATTCAAGTTTCTGGAAAGCAATGTGTCCTTAATTGTTTTTTGTTGTTTTTGTTGTTATGAGGAGACAACCATGCCACTTGAGCAACAAACTCTCTTTATGCATGGATGGAGTTTAGCACTGTAATCAAATACAGCTTACAACAAAGTTAATCTGATGATACATATTTAATGCTATGCATTATCGATGTGCTACATGGTAATTAGACATAAATGGCAAACAGCTCCTGTGAATGGCAAATTGATGTTACTTTTGCATCATTGAAGCAAACCTTTCTGGAATGGGAGGCTGCGAGAAGCACTGGTGATTCTTGGCTTTGCTCTTGCCTGAGGGTGCAAGCACTCCTTTGGGTGCTGGCAAATCAAATAATTGCTTCAACCCAGGACCTCTGTCCTTACCAGAAGACACTCAGGCATTTGATTTGTCTGGATAAATGCCATCTTGACTTCAGGAAGTCAGGTGAGGTTCTCATCAATTGTGCCTTTTACCCAAGCAACACAATTCCAATCACGCATACTATTCAATTGCATGTTAAATTCTTTTCTCCTACAATCAGAACTAAGAAAATGAGTTTTGATTGAGAAGAGGAAGGGAGGAAATTTTAGAATATCTGGCACTGAGAAGGAAAGCAGGCTTGTGTGGAAAAAAAAAAGATGTCAGTGTTGTGCTTTCAACAAAAAGCAGGCACAAAATTGAAGGGGCAGAAGATGCAAAGGGCAAAATACACAGATATGTGAGAGGAAAAAAAAGGAGCTAAAGGCTTAGAAAAGGGAAGGGAGGTTTAGAAAAGAGGAAGAGACGAGATGAGCCCAGGTCAATCTGTACTCAGCAAACAGGAAAGGCAAGGAAGCAAAGGGTAACATGCACAAAAGGAGCCTGGCAGGATCTATGCTTTGTGTTTCTCCTTCACTCTCCTCCCCACAGCACAATCTAAAATTTTGCATGACAATATGATTTAACAAGAAGTTGTTTTGTCTGCATTGTGGATAAGATTAAACCAGCAAATTCAAAAATTTGGACATAATTTACTGCCATCTCTAAATTGTAAGCAATTCATTCCACCCAATTGGACTACGATTACCTAATTTTAAGAGAGAAACAAATATATATTGTTTACGCTACAAAACAAAGTGAAACATAAAAAAATTATCCCAGGTAATACATTTCTATATACACATTTTAAAATCTTGTTGCATATTACAGGGACGTTCAATGAGAATCTTTCTCTTCTTCCATTTCCTAAAGAGTTGAAAACATGACTTAAAAAACAAGTTTATAATATTACTGGGAAATACATACCACAGTAACATTTCTGCATATTTACGTTCTTATTTATTTAGCAAAGCATGTAATGGAAAAACCAGTTTTAATGGGTATAATAAATAGCTACATTGATTAATTCTTCAAAACATGGTTCTATTTTACTATAATTTCATTATACAGAAAAGACTAGAAAGCTTCAATTATTGAGTAGGAGTCAGAAATTTGTTTGGCTTATTGTAGTTAAAGTTTAAACTGTCTAATTGAAAAAAAGAGAAAACAAAATCATGTTTAGGCTTCATGCCCTGCTCGTTCTGACTGTTATACAAACAATCCTGGGACCAGGGCAGCACAAATGTGATCCGCTTTCCATTATGGACTTGCTGTTTGCACAGAGAAAAAAAAATTATTTTACGTTTACCACAAAGGGACTGCTTATCAAAGTGTAACTCTTGGGCCGGCCGAGTGGCACATTGGTTAAGAGCTGGCTTGGGACACCAGAGGGCCCCGGTTGGGATCCCACATATGAGGGCCAATGACGCTGCGCCCTCTACAGCTAAGATGCTGAACAACAGCTCGACCTGGAGCTGGGCTGCCTTGAGTCGCTGGCGATGGCGAAGGCTGCAGCCCCTGCTGCACTGGGTNTCTACAGCTAAGATGCTGAACAACAGCTCGACCTGGAGCTGGGCTGCCTTGAGTCGCTGGCGATGGCGAAGGCTGCAGCCCCTGCTGCACTGGGTTGCCATGGGCTACTGTGTGTAGCCAGCAGCCAGCTTGAGCGGCCAGCAGCTGCAGTGAGCGGCCAGCAGCTGCGGTGAGCGGCCGTCCAGAAGTCGGCGACTGATCTGCCTCGCCCAGGAAGAGCGCAATGATGGTGCCAACTTGGGCCAATGAAGCAACGTCCTCCACAACTAGACTGAAGAACAAAACGACAGCAACTTGTCTGTTCCCCTTCCCCCAATTCCCCAATATAAAAAATACTTTAAAGTGTAACTCTGAGATTAATATAGGTGTTTATTAACATAATAAAGATCCTATATAAATAAAGAGACCTTAGTCCTAATAAATATATCTATAACTAAAACATATACATGAACTAAACTGTAATGCAATCCGACACTACAAAATGGAGGCACTATAAACAAATAATACAAATGGAGCCCTTTAAAATCGAGCCAGAGCTACGAAGCCAGAGAAACCATCTTGCATGTCTTATGCTTCAAATATTTGGAATGTTGAAACAGGGCAAAATAACCTTTGGACTGGGCCTAAGAGACCTGTGCCCTGAAAAAGAACTGTTTGCAAAGATAACAAGAAAGCAATTATTATGACTACTGAACTGATGACTACTGGACTAAAAATTAAAAACATTGTTTGGGATTAGCTTCACTATGTTAGCTTACCTACACCAATAGCAATGCCTTTCTTCTACTGATATAATTGTTTCCCTTCACTTTCTCATAAATACCCATTGTCTCTGATTCCTAGTCAGAACATTATTTGGACATCTGCCTGAATTAATGATTCCCAAATAGCTATTCTTATTGATCTCAAATAAACACTTGTTTGCCTCTCACTTGGAAAGGCCTTTTTATTTTTAGGTTAACAGATCTTCCATATAGACACAGCCTGCTCAAATGACAAACACGGGTTCTCTGAGATTTAGAGCAAGTCTGAGAAATATATGGCAAAATTATTATGGCATGAATTACTCAGTCTTCTTAAAATGAAAGCAAACTGCATGGCTGACAAACAAACAACAACAACAAAAAAACTACAATGACTCTGCCCTTCCATGAAAGCATCTCTGCAATGTTTCCTTCTAGAAATTAAAAAACATACTAAGAATTCTAATACGTTCGATCTTGTATAGTGCTTTAGAGTAGAAAACATTTTATTTGGTTTAATCGTCACAGTGACTCTGTGATCACAAATGAAGACACAGAGGCGTAGCAAGCTGAAATGGTTTGTCTGTAGGACACGGAATCATAGAACAGAAAGAACAATGGTTTTAGAGTCTTGAGAGACCTTGTTCTGAATCCCAGCTCTCCCACTCTGCCCCTTACCAGCTAGGTGACATTGGGCAATCTCTCTAACCCTCAGTTTCCTTATCCATAAAATGAGGATATTAGTACTTATCTCATGGGATTGTGGTAGGATTTAAAGGGATAAAATATACAAAGTCGTTGGCACAATCCCCAGCGCATGTTAAGTGTCTAACAAAGGATAACTTTACCATTTACGCATTGATTTGAGCAACCTATTTAACCTGTTGGCCTCTCCTTTTTTATATCCATAAAATGGTAATAACAATATCTACTTTACAGAGTCATTGTGATAATGAAATATATGCAACTTTCTGTACAGTGAATGACAGGGAATAATATGTCTACGTATGCATAAACTTAAAAACAACACCATATATCTGACAAATGGCAGAAACAGAGCTAGAACCTAGGTCTTCTGTGTTGAGTCCCCTATCAACACAGCTAGATGCTCCTGATTCTATTATCCAAATACAAAAGAACATTTTCTCATAACTCCATTCAGAAGATAGCAATCTAGAAATACCTGAGAAAATGAATTTTTTAAAAAATACGCAATTTACCTGAATTAAGGCCTCAGTCAACATGTCTTCATTGACCTCCAGAATAATGTTTTTGATATCTTCATATGGCATACGATATGATCCAAGGAAGATAGCTAAAAAAAAAAATAAATAAATAAATAAGCTTCTTACAAATAGAACAGCACAGGGCCGACCAAGTGGTGTGCTGGTTAAGAGTTGGCTTGGGAGGCCAGCTCTGAGCAACAGAGCCCCGCTTCGGATCCCACATGAGGGCCAGCGACACTGCACCTTCTACAGCTAAGATGGTGAACAACAGCTCGACCTGGAGCTGGGCTGCCGTGAGCCTCCGGAGATGGCATAGGCTACAGTGGGGCTGCAATGGGCTGCCGTGAGCTACCATAAGTGGCCGGCAGCTATCATAAGCGACTGTCCAATGACCGGTGAGCAATTGCCTCACCCGGGAATAGTGCAATGATAATACCAACACGGGCCAGTGAAGCGACGTCCTCCACAACTAGACTGAAGAACAAAAGGACAGCAACTTGTCTATTCCCCTTCCCTGATTCCCCAATGCTGTTCCCCTCCACCAATTCCCCAATAAAATCTTTAAAAACAAAAACAAATAGAACAGCACCAAAATTTTAAAGTTCTAATTAATACTTGATTCCCATTTTATAGACTCAAAATGTGGAACTTCTGCCACTAATATTAATGTACAGAGTTAAGAATAAAAAATGTACTTCACATTTGCTGGCCTATACTACTCAGGTAGGTAAAATGGCCTATCACAGTCTCTAATGTTTACGGTTCATGCGTATGTATATACAAAATAAAACTCCTGCTAATAGCACTGAGGACTACATGTTCATACATCTTAGATTGAGCTGATACAAAACGACCCATGAAAAGTTAGAGGTTTGATTTCAAATTGGCCTTTTACTTCAATGCTGAATTTAGTGTGGAGATTGTCAGATGCATCCAACATAGGGCTTCTCAGGAATGACAATAAAGTCACCAAATACCAAAAAGCATATCAATCTACTTTGTAGTTCTCCCATATAAGAAAAAATTAAAGTGCCTGAATCATCAAAGTTCTCTGCATCCCTGCTGATAGTCACGTAGTATACCATTACTTGCATTATATGTTGAATCACAATTTCCCATCTCAACTTTTTCTTAATTACGTTTGTACTATGTCATATTGGGACAATTCAACAAACTATACCTAGAAAAGTTTACACTTACTCAGAAGGTCCTTTTCCACAATACATTTCACTAAACTACTTTTTAAAAAAACATTCGTGAATATATTCCTAAGAATTTTTTTCATGGAATGGTCTTTATGACTTCAATGGCACCTAAAGAATAAAACATCCTTACTGTCCTGGCAAATGATTACCTAGACATGAACACCAAATGAGATCTCTAAAATTGAAATACATAATGTTGACAGATATCAAGTAGCCATTAAAGATCATACTGTGTTTTTAAAACAATACTAAATATCCCTCCACTTTATAAAGCAAATGTACTGTCAGGTAAGCAATGTACACATTCACAACAGCTATTAGGGACAGCTTTTATGACAGCAACATTCCTACTGACAGAATGACAAGTTGTTTATTTTAATCTGATTCCCTATAGCACTTTCTTTAACAAAATAAACTCCTGTGGTATCTTGCTGCGCAATTAGAAATGCTTGATGTGTTGAAATTTCTCGCGCATAGCATTTTAGTATCCTCAGAATATAAACACAGTGTATGGTGGTGACAAAAAAAATGCTGAATTCAATACAAAGGGGAGAGATTTCGTCAAAGTAAAACTTCAGGCCTACTTAAATAAAGATGGCTTTAAGTGTCCAAGCTGCTTTAGGGAAAGCATACTTAATGGCTGACTGGTTTGTGAAAGCTTTTAAGGTTCAGTAACCAGTTTTATAATGCAGTGGTTAAGGATTTAACTAGCTCACATCACAATTACTTCAAATATAAAGGAACAGCAGTAAAAGGATTTGCCCAAAGTGGCTAGCGGATACTCTAAAGCTATCACTCCCATGCCTAGGCAGAAAGAAAAACAAATAAGACTCTTTTCAACGCTGCCTTATGTCTCACTTGTGTCCTCTAAGAATGTGTAACTATCAGTACTTTCCAAAGCTTTATTATTCATAAATTTCATCTAGCCTAACCAAGGCTAAATTATGATGGTTTCCAGGCTGGCGATATAACAAAAAAGCAAACCAAATCATGTTTACACATAATTCTGTTTTTCTAGCAGGGGCTAAATATACCTGTTCAAGGAAGTTACAACTGTGTTTAAATACCAGGGTGCCAAAAAAAATGTACACCTTTTAAGAGATGTTATCTATGTACTACTTTTCGAAGTTGAATTGAATTACGGCAGCAATGTGCACTATGACGTTCACTCAAAAGATGGCATTAATCAAATGCTAGCGTCATTCATGCTATTACAATTTTAATTCAGTTTTTCCTTTCTTAAAATATGTATACATTTTTTGGCACCCTCTGTACATTCTACAACCCACTCGCACCACCACCATCACCACCCTGCCCCCTACAAAGAAAATATCACATACACAGATTCTGGGCTGATTTGGCATCCAAAATTCTCAACTCTTTCACTTTCTTCTTTGTAGGTACAGCCTTCTTTTCTTCTGAAGCGTCTACCTTCTTTTGAACTGAAAGAAAAATGTTGATTCATAAACAATAATGGTACTAATCCAAATGCATGGAATAACATTAGTAAGCCATATTAACTACATTAATAAAGCTCATGCCAAAATCAATAAATGTGTTTATTTCATTAGTTCGAGGAAGAGAATAAACATAAAAATATAACCTGTTTAGAGGTTTCCCTACAAATTAAATATCAGCACTTAAGCAGAAAAGATAAGCCAAAGAGAACCAAAAATCAATTGCTTCTTCTTAACTAATGTGCAACATTAATTAGTCCTTTACCAGGTATCTACAAGCAGCAATAGAGTTAAATAAATATATAGTAAAATCTCCCTAATTTGCACTAAATGAGGAAAAAGAAATGCATTTATACTAAATTATGTGAAAACTTAGGCATGTCTTCTATTCAGTGAAATTGCTTTAAAGTACCTAAGGTAACTTTAACGACTACACCGGTTGCCATACAAAAATTCTTGCTGAGACTGCTTTGAAGAATAGCTATGAACCACTTGCAAGTTGCGCAATGGTAGCACCTGCTTGCATACACATTATCAACAAACCTCAAAACCAGTCTATTGAGTAAGTCAGATTTGTCGCCCTCGCTATTTTTTAGTACTATCTGCTTTCTTAGAACAAAAGACAGAATTATGCAGTATTCACAAGGTAACCCTCTAGTTCGAAGCAATTAAAATGACCTGAAACTGTGAGGAATGGCTTTAGCTCCCATTATCTCCATCAGCCCTCCCGCCAAATAAGCCATCCCAAAACCCAATGTGAAAAACAATGCGGCTACTTGCTATGAAAATGAAACTTACGTCAAATCCCTAAACCCTGCCTAAACAGTTCTACAGCTATGGTTGTACTCATGTGTTGGCAGTGTACCTCTTCTAATATAAAAATAGAGTTGTAGGTAATGGGTCCATGAAAAAATATAAGAAAATGAAAGCCACCATTTTTTTTTCAGTCAAGTAGCGTGATAGGTTCTTGCCCCAAACTCACGCTCCTAAACTTCATCACTAAAACATATGGCCATAATCCTGCTGTTTCTTTATTACTTTTAAAACTATAACTTCATTTTGAAGCAATAATTAATTTGGCTATTTTAATTTACCTGATCTTTGTTAAGGAGATCACAAATGAGTTATTGATTTTCTTTAGAGAAAACTCAAAACACAACCACAGTACATTTTTGCTAGGCTATGTGTTCAAAGATGTTAGCCTCTGGAAAACTTGCTAGACATGTCACAGAATGCATCAAAATACTGCAAGTCCATTGAGACCCCCTTTATTTGAATGGTGCAAAATAGGTGAAAATTAAATAAACTTACTGCAAAAATAACAGATTAAATAAATTGGCTGAATAATTAAAGTCCTAACAGTTCTAAGCTTTACTGGTATGACCAATCTAAAGTGATGCAGTCTAAGCAGACTAGGTAATAATTACACTTGAATACCATAATCTTAGGAGAGATGACAAGCAGTTTGTCATGTTTACTTAACACTGTAGAGTTATCACAACTACTGGAAGAAAAATGACTTAATGTATTTCTTTTAAAATCATTAAGGATGTTCCTCAAAGGATCTTTCCTATGCAATAATCAGCATTTTATTTTAATTTTCAAGGCAGTCCCAGCTTAAGGCAACTGTATGAAAAGAAATGGCAGTCCAAGAGTCATTTCCTTTGTCAGTAAAAAAAAGAATTATCTGAATCGTACTGAAATTATTCCTAGAATCATTCAGTAATTTTAACCCAGTCAAAGAAATAGCCAAGAAAACTGTCCTCATCTCTCAATATCCCTTAAACCCTACTTTGGGAGACTGGCCAACCAAGCATATACAGAATAAAAATGCTGTTGTACAAAGGATATATTAACAGACTGAAAACTAGCAGACTCCTGACTAACCCAGGCATACACAATGCTCATTTTATATGCCTTCATATTTCTGCACTGTTTTCATTAAAATGTATTTCAACTTCTTCCCTATTTAAGTGAACAAGTTGTTTAAAATGAAGATTAGATGCCTTAAATAACTTGAGTTCACAGTTTTGTTGTGGAATCCTAATACACTTTCCTTGTATTATGCCATTTGGCTTTATCCTGGATTCAAGAAATGGTAAGAATTCCATGAGTGAACACTGCTGTTCTGAGAATTACTAGAGCAAAGCTAGTTTCAAAGAGTCCCTTACCTAGACAGGCTTTCCGAAACAATCATGTTTTAGCCATGATCAGCAGATACTGACCAGTGGCTATTATTGCCTTTGGCTTTCTTGTCTTTAAAAGCACTCCTTACCAATCACAAACACAGGTTTAGATAAATAGAGAATTTGAAGAAATGCAATGTTATATCCGACTTCCCCAAACAGTATTACAGGCTTCATACAAGTATATTAAAAATTCCCTGGTTTCATAATGACTAAAAAAATGCCACTTGTCCTAAGATGCTTTTATTCCATATATGTTTCTAATGCTTACAAATATTAAATATTCCATAACTTGATTTTAAAATGGACAATTCCATAACTCAATTAAAACTTGAAGAGACATTCTCCAAAGAAGACATACAAATGGCCAACAGGTATATGAAAATCTGCTCAACATCACTAATCATCAAGGAAATGCAAATCAAAACCAAAACAAGATATCACCTCACCTCTGTTAAGATGAATATTATATATAAAAAAAAGATAATGTTGGTGAGGATGTGGAGAAACTAAAACCCTTATACACTGTTGGTAGGAATATAAAATGGTACAGCCTCTCTAAAAATAAGTATGGTGATTCCTCAAATCATTAAAAAGAAAATTAACGTATGACCCAGCAAGCCCACTTCTGGGTACATATCCAAGAGAACCAAAATCAGAATCTCAAAGAGATATCTGCTCTCCTATATTTACTGCACCATTATTCACAACAGCCAAGATATGGAAACAGCCTAAATGTCCATTCACAAATGAATGGATAAAGAAAATGTGATACATATATATAACATATATGTATAATGTATTACACACATGTACATATTGCACACAAACACACACACACACAGTGGAATCTTATTCAGACTTAAAAAAGAAGGAAATCACACCACATGGCAACATGGATGAACTTAGAGGACATTAAGTGTAATGAGAGTGTCACAGAAGGACAAATACTGCATGATTCCACTTACCTGAGGCATTTAAAATGCCAAATTCATAGAAACAAAGAGTAGAATGGTGGTTGCCTGGGGCTGGAGGGTGGGGGCAATGGGGAGCTGCTGTTCAACTGGAATCAAGTTTCAGTTACACAGGAATAAGTTCAAGTGATCTGTGGTACATTATGCCTATAGTTAACATACTGTGCACTTAAAACGTTAAGAGGATGCATCTGATGTTAAATGTGCTTATACCAATAAAAATTAATTTAGAAACTTAAATTATTGGCGTCTGTAATTATTTGGATGGGACTGAAGAGATTTTATGTCTCAATACAAAAACTTCAAGAATTGATTTTGTCGTCAATGGCCCTATGGTCCTCAGGTTCATAATGAGGCCTCCAGTCAAACGTGATCTCTCCCTGCGCAAATGAAAATCCATATAGCCACTGGGTTTGAATCCAATTGATTAAATTAATTTGAGTGCATAAATTGGCACTGCTAATCGACCAAATAATAACGAAACATTATAAAATACTGTCTGTATAAAGATAATAATGTAATAATACATTGTATTATTATTAAAGATACGTTAACATCAAGAAACTAATTATCTAAGATAAAATGTCCACTGAGCATTCTTATATTTCCTTTAATACATGGAATTTTACATGCAATTGTACTATAAATTTATTCCTTTACAAACTGAGGGATGCTCATCAGCATAAATAAACATGGTTATATTCTTTCCCCAATCTAATTTAGACAATGTTCAGAACTCTCCTATTAATTTCTGCTATCCCAATGGATACACAGAACATGTGACAAGATATCTGTAATTTGTAGCAACTATTAAGATATTACAAATGGGTAATACTGAATGGTTTACATAGTGATAACCATAAATCATAAAAAAATTTTAGTAACTACTTTATTTATCTCAAAACTCCAATGAGAAAGATTGAGTCCTAAAGTCAGCATCAATACTCTTCATTCATTCATTCAGCAAATACCTGATGAACACCTATACTATATGTTGGCCTAGCATGAGCATTCAATTCCACAAGAGACTGAATTGTCTATTCATACTCTTAAATACATGGGCATATGTAAACAACTAATTATGTAACTATCTCTAAGATATCTACACAATATGTGTAATTTTCTTTAACAATAACAACATAGCTTAAATGAATACATATACATCACTCAGCAAATTCTCTTTTTGTTATTGGAAGCCATAGCAGCTCCACATTAGAGAATACTGTGTCTTTGAATCAGCATTAACTGATGTGCTGTAACATATAATAAGGACTATGTGAAGAAGTAAAAGTATGACACTTTCGATTAAGTGCACAAAGTCAGGGTAAATAAAGCTAATAATAGTAGTGTTGAAAACCAAATTGAAAATTTATGTATCTTCATGCATACGTGTGGGAAAAAAATATATGTGTGTGTGTGTTTGTGCGCATATATATATATATATATATATATATATAATCAACAAGTAAATGCCAAACTGCTGTTTTAGATATATTATACAAATATAAAAATTGTGATCTCCCTGCATAAATACATATTTTATCCATATGTATATAATTCTACAAGTGATTCTAACTACACAGAAATATTTTGTCATGGATTAGTTGAAATAGGTGCTATTTTAACTTCGATTAATAACTCACTGTTAAAATGAGTGCAAATGTAACACGGCAGGCAGGGAAATTCTACTACGATTTCTATGTGTGATTGCTGTGATGATTTTTTTATTTGATTGTTATTTTCCACGTTTTAAAATCATCTTTATCCTTGCACTTCTGGAAATATCGTGCAAACACAATTGAAAAATGGGCAAAAGAGGAAAGGG